TAAGCTTTACAGTTATAAATTTACCTCTTGGCACTGCTTCACTGCCTCCCAGAAGTTATGGAATATTGTGTTTTCATTTTCACTTATCACAAGATATTTTCTAATTTCTTTTGATTTTTTTGACCCATTTGTTGTTTAATAGTGTGATATTTAATTTCCACATATTTGAGGATTTTCCTTCTGCATTTGATTTCTAGTTTCATTCCATTGTGAATGAAAGAGACTTTGTTTGATTTAATCTTTATAAATTTAAGACATGTTTTGTAGCCTAACATATCATTTGTCCTGTATAGTGTTCCATGTGCACTCGAGAAAAATATGTATTATACTTTTGTTGGGTAGATTGCTCTGTATGTGTCTGTCAGGTCTAGTTGTTCAAATCCTCTGTTTCCTTATTGATCTTCAATATGATTTTTCTGTCCTTTATTGCAAGTGGGATATTGAAGCTCCCCACTATTATTATACGGTCTATTTTTACTTTCTAAATTGTGTTTGCTTCATATATTTAGGATTTGGTGTATATGTTTATAATTGTTTTTTCTTCTTGTTGAATTGGCCCTTTAATCATTACATAATGTCTTTCTTTGTCTTTTATGACAGTTCTAATTTAAAGTCTGTTTTGTCTGATATAATATAGCCATCACTGCTGTCTTTTGGTTACGATATTCATGGAATCTTTTTCCATTCTTTTGTTCTATGTGTGTCCTTATATCTAAAGTGAGTCTCTTGTAGAAGCATAGAGTTGGATCTTGTTTTTTTAGCCCATTCAGCTACTTTTATCTCTTAATTAAGAAGTTTAACCCATTTACGTTTAAATGACTGATGGGGAAAGACTTTTGCCATTTGTTTTCTGTCTGTCCTACAGCTTTTTTGTCCCTTATTTCCTCCATTATTGCTTTCCTTTATGTTCAGTTAATTTTTTGTAGCGACAAATTTGATTCTCTTCTCATTTCCTTTTGTGTATAGTAAATAGATATTTTCTTTGTGGTCACCATGTAACATCCTAAAGTTATAACAATTTATTTAAAATTTGATATCAACTTAACTTGAATCACACATAATAACTCTACTCCTTTACATCTCCCCCTCACTTTGTTTTTGATATCACAGATTACATTGTTGTATATATATTAATATAGACATAATTTTTTAAGTGCATTTATCTTCTAAATTCTGTAGTAAAAGGATAGTTGCAAATCAAATGTACACTAATACTATTTTTTATATTTTTCAATGTATTTAACTTTACTGGAGATCTTTATATTTTCTTATGGCTTTCAATGACTATCTGGCATTGAAGGTCTCTGGTTAGCATTTTTTATAGAGCAGGACTACTGGTAATGAACTTCCTCAGCTTTTATTTATCTGGGAATGTCTTAATTTCTCATTTTTGAGGGACTGTTTTTGCCGAAACTGGAATTCTCAGTTGACAGAGTTTTTCTTCTCTCAAGCATTTTGAATATATCATCCCACTGCTTTCTGACCTCCAAAGTTTCTTCAGAGAAATTGATTGATAATCTCATTAAGTATTCTTTGTACATGGTGAGTCACTTTTCTCTTGTTGTTCTCAAGAGTCTCTCTTTATCTCTGGCTTTCAACAGCTGATTATAATGTGTCTTAGCATGAATCCCTGGGTTAATCCTGCTTGGAGTTCATTGAGTTCGGATTTGTAGATCTGTGTCTTTCCTCAATTGAGAGGAAGTTTTTAGCCATTATTTCTTCAAATAGTCTCTTTGTTCTTTCTCTCTCTCCTCCTTTGGGACTCCCATAATGTGCATATTGGTCTTCTTATGGTATCCCATAAGTCCTTTGGGTTCTTTTCACTTTTCTTCAGACTTTTTCAGTGTCCTTTGTTGAAGTTCACTGATACTTCTGCCTGTTCAAATCTGCTGTTGAACCCCTATAGCAAATTTTTCCATTTGGGTATTGTATTTTTCAGCTCCACAGTTTGTTTGATTTCTTTTTACAATTTGTATGTCTGCTGATATTCTCATCCTATATCTATTTGTCTTCAGGGACAGTTTCTACCACTTTTTCTTTAAATGGGTTATGTTTTCCTGTTTCTTTGTATGCCTTGTAATTTTTTCTTTTTTTATCCTTTTTTTTTTAAATTGGGCATTTGAAAAAAATAGCTACTTTTCCCAGTCTTTGCAGACCCACTCTGTGCCATGAAAGAGCTTCACTAATTAGCACATATCTGAGCTTTAGAGTCAGCATGGGGCAAAGGATTAAACTCTTATCAGGATTTTTTCTAAGCATGCATCTTCCCTGGGCTTCTGTGTGCACTATTTTCAAGTCCCCCATATACACAGCTGCTTTTAAATGTCTTAATTTCCCAAAGTGTCTCACCTGAACTCCTTGGGCCTTAGATGTTCTATTGTATCTCCCGCCACCCACCCAACCTCTTGCCCCAGGTGTGTGTGAGTCTTTAGTCACCTGTGGCTTTCACAAGAAGTACCCACAGCTCCTTTCCACAACTTCCCTATCTGAACTCTAAGTCAAGCAAAACAAAGACCTGTCTCCCAGGCAGCCCCAACACAGGTTGGGATGTTTCTAGATGGTCTGCTCTGCTCCTTCCAATTTGAGAGAAAGAACTAGGAATTGGTGCTACTTTCAGATGGTTTCACATGAGAGGGAGTGGGGCAAGGGTGAGTAAACACCACAAAACATCTTGCCATCCAGAACATGACATTTTCTAGATTAAGCATTTGCCTGGTCGATGTAGATCTTTGCCTGTTTTTCAGAAGTCCTATAAAATATTTTAGCCAGTACCAATTTTTTTAAAAAAAAATTTCTATAGGAGAATGAGGGCCTAGAGCTGATGTCCTCTCTCCATTAAAGGATTTTAAATAGGGACTTTTGTGTGTGTCTAGTGACATTATGGGAGATAGATGGGGTGGAGGAGTATCCTCTGCTCTTCTAGATTTTGGGTCCTGTGTTCCAGGCTGGGCAGCAGTGGGACAAGACAGGCTAAGTCTTTTCCTTGGGGCTTATGGCTTAGAGGGGACTAATCCTACAGATAGTAGCATCATTAGATTGTAGTGTTGCTAGGTCAGAAATAGGTAGGGCGCTCAGAGAGAGTATAACAGGGATGGAGGCTGTTCAAGTTGGGAGCAGTCAGAGAAGATAGGGTCAATGGCATTTTAGAGGCTTAGGGACAAGGATAAGGTTGGTCAGGTTGGCAGACAAGCATTCTGGGAATGCTTATCAGTGTGTACAGAGGGCCTGAGGCAGGGAGAATCTGAGTTCTAGGGACAAGAGGGAGGCACTGGTTTCTTAGAGCACCATGAGCAAGAGCAAGAGAGGTATGAGCTGAAGCTGCACGGGTTGATGGGCCAAGGCTGGGCAGCAGGTTCAATATGATTCTGAGTGCAGTGGGAAGCTACCAGGTGCAGTGAGATCCAAGAGAGGCCCCAAATAAGATAGGAGCAGGAGTTGGGGTGGGAGAGTCTTGGGGAGGGAGGTTTGCTCCTCGGTGCCTCTCAAGAGAGTTTTTCCCACAGCCTTTCATGGCAGCAGATGCTCAGGGGGTGATTTGTCCTGCCCCCTGCCCCAGCTGGAGTTGTGGGCTGCTGGGGAGGTCTCTCCCTTAGGCAGGGCACAGAGGCAGCCGTAGGTTTAGGTTGTGCTGGTCTGACCTCCAGGAGCCTGAGGGCATCCAGGTGTGACTGCAGGGCTAGACCCCAGAAAGGAGGGACCATAGAAGGCTTGGACTCCATACTCCCCACCAAGGACCCACTTCTGCTTTGTTTCTTCTCCACACAGCCTTGAGGTTGGCATAAAGGCCACCACAGGCTTACCCCCTGTACTGCTAGCCCTGGCCCCCACTTTTACCCTCCTCTCACATTGTCTTCTAGCACTCCTGTCCATCACTGTCCCTGGTTCCAAGGGGACATTACCTCCCACTGCCCTTCTGTAAAACCAGCATTCAGTATCTGTCTTCTCTGTATCCTCTTCTGAGCACATCACACATCTCTTTGTAGCCTGAAACAGCAGCATGAAGCAGCTTTTCCTGTGAGCAGCCCCACCTTACAGATGAGACCAGTCTCATGTGAGGGCATAATTTGCCCACAACCGCACACTGCCGCAGGCATAACCTAAACCCACATCCTGCTCTCAAGCCAGCTCTTTCCTGTTTCCTTCCCACTAGGAGTGTCTACTGTACTTCCCACAACTGACAGAGAGTAAAAGATGGACAGACAGACATTCCCCAAGAGTAGGAGTGCCCTGAGAAGCAGGCACCTGACTTCGTGTCCTTTGAAACTTCATGTTCCCACATAGCGCCTTGAGCTAGAAGCTGCTAATAAAACTTGAACAAATGCTTCCATTTTGGGGTGCATTGAACCAAAATTAATGGTGCTGAATTAGTTTGTTTTGCTGCTTGGGTAGAACTTTTATAGACTTTGAAAGCACATGGTCATTATTTCTATCTTGGCAGGAATATGCTACATGAATAAAAAGCGGTATCTGTTGTGAAATTTCCTGGGAAACAAGCAGCGTTTCTCAGATTTGTCCAGGGCTCTCTGTAGTTCCCAAAGGACAGGATTTTAACACTTTTGAAAAGTAAATTACTATTTGGGAGAAAAAGTGGGAATTGAAAGAACAGATCAAATACAGGTTCCTCTTACCTTGAAAGGTTTTGGGCCACCATTTACACATGACCTTTTGAAATAGAATGAGTCCAAAAGCTGTTTATCTGGAACAGCGCTTAGAGGGAAACATGCTCAGGCTGTGGGTCTGTGCTCCAGGTCAGCACCTGCAGGACCTACAACCTTGGACAAGTCACCTAGTCTTATAAACCTCAGTTCCTCTTCTGTAAAATGGGGATCACACCTTCCAGAATCATTTTGAGGACCACATGAATCTTCTGATTCCACAGGAGAAAATGCAGATCAGTTTCTGGTTGAATGTTTTGTCCCTGAGGACAGGAATTTCTGACTTGCTCTGGAACTTCTCAGCGTAATGTGTTTTTCCTGCCTTTCCTCCCTTTCTCCCAGCAGGTGTGGCACAGTCCTCAGCAGACGAAGAAATGAGAAAAATACCAAATAATGGGAACCTCAAGATGACGAAGGTGGCGTATCCCATGGGGCTGTTTGTGTGCCTGTTCATCTACATTGCCTATATCAAGTGGCACTGGGCCTCAGCCACCCAGGCCTTCTTCAGCATCACTGAGGCAGCTGCGGGGGCCAGGAGGGGCCAGCAGGCCCAAGGTCCCTTGGGGACTACTGCACATGGTCACAAGGTTTTCTACGGCATCATGTTTGACGCGGGAAGCACTGGCACCCGAGTGCATGTCTTCCAGTTCACCTGGCAGCCTGGAGGTATTTCAGCAACAGCAGAAAGCCTTGGCCATGTGCTGCTTTTTCTCTGTCTCTCACAGCAGAGCTCTTGGGATCACCTCCCCTTAAAGACGGTGGTTTCTCAGGGTATGGGCTAGACTCCCTGCCTTAGCCTCACCTGGGAGCTTCTCAAAAATTCAGTGTCCCAGCAATGCTGGCTCAGTAGGGATTGGGGCCCAGGAATCTCAAATTTCCCAGGAGTCCCAGCTTGACCTTACTTGTAATAGCATCTGATGACCACCTGAGGGCAGCTGAGATCCCAATGTGTATTTGGTGGCCTGTTCCCTTGCAACATTCACAGGCAGATTGGGTGGCTAGGACAGTGACTTAGGCCAGAAGTCATGTTGGATGAATTTTAAGGCAGGCAGTAACCCCAGATTCAGGCCTGTGGAGCCAGGAGAATAGGAAAGTGAGATAAATTGCAAAGACCCAGGACCCAAGCTGACACAGAGCTGCCAGTGGGGCCAGGCAGCGAAGGGATTACAGATGCAAGTGGCCTCAGCAGTGAGAGTGGAGCTGGAACCAGAGCCCTGTCAGCTCTGCTTCCCAGGGTAAGGGCTTTGGACAAGAGGGAAGGTGGGCCTTTGGGCATCTTCATTTGTTGGCTTCTCCTGTAGGGAGACCCCCATTACTATCTAGCTCTGCGCTGTTCCTCCTCCCTTTGATCTCCTTTCCTAGCACCTCTTTGTGCCCATTGGCTGTGAAGGTCGCCTCTCTAGCCAGTAAGTGTTTTCTGCTGATTGCTCAACAGGCCCACTGCTCATGCTGGGGTCCCCCCAATGCCTTATGAGTTTACACCATTCTGTGCATTTAACTGAGCTGGTGGTACTAGACACCTTTAGTAGCTCTCTCCAAAGCCATTGTGGCATATTTTATTTACTTTTTATCTGCTTTATTTTTAAACTTAACTATAATACTTAAATATTTATATGCTGGACCTGTCTACTTCCAAAAATGGTTTCGAAGCTAAGTTTAAGATAACACATGTCAGCATGTCATCCTTTAACAGCCATATTCCAGTGTTTTATCTTTAGAGATAAGTCTTTACAAAAGGTTTTCTTATTTTTCCTCATGGGTCTTCATGTCTGAATTCGACTGGCATCCCTTGGCCACCGTGTGTTCTGAACACTCACCCTGCTGTATGCACATGAGTCCAGCCTCCAAATAATTTAGAACACTCAATTTTTAAGATATATAGAACCCTGTAATGCATTCATCCAAAAATCAAGGAAATGACTTTCATATTTGCAATTTGGAATCATCTGCTCTGCTCCTCTATTTGTTGAATTAGCAGTTATTAACTGACAAATTTAACTTTAAATGGATAGTTTTTGTTTGCTAATTATATCTGAATAAAGTTGATTTTTTAAAAAAAGAAAGTTCTAGCCAAAACATTAGGTATAATATCTTGTTTAGCCCAACTAAAGAGGCAGAATTTAAATGAGAAACATTAAAGGAGCTCCATGTCACTCTGGGATTGGTCTGTTTTCAGATCAGCCTTTAAAGAGTATGGCTACTCCTAGTCGTATAGTTTTATATATTTATGTACGGATTCATCGTTGTACCTTTTTTAAAACATGTTTTTCTCTTAGAAACTCCCACCTTGACCCATGAAACCTTCAAAGCACTGCAGCCGGGTCTTTCTGCTTATGCTGATGATGTTGAAAAGGTAACCATTTTCCTTCATGTCTATTTGTTCATCACGTTTGTTATCTAACTGTGTGATTTGTTAAAGCCAGCTTTCTTTCCCTTGAGTACAGTTGGCCATTTTCACAGAAGAGCATTTTTTGATAGTGCTGACCTAGGATATTTCGTACTGTTTAACATGATCAGGAAATGGGGAAACCGGTACAGCACATAAGTATCCCCAGGCCCCTACTCCCTCACACATACACCCTGTCCAACCAGGCCCTTCCCCCAACCAGTAAACATGCCACCAGAATTCTTGATGCATTTCAAAAGCACAAATGCTACAAACTTACAAAAAGCATTATTTGAAAGTTTCATTTTTTTATTTCAGTTACTCTGCAGATGACAAACCTTGACTAAAACAAAAAATCAAAGTAGAAAATGTGTTATGCAAAATTCACAAAACCAAATAAGTATAAAAGAAATTAAACTGTCAAATGATGATTTTTCTAAGTTTATACCATTTGTACTTTTGAAGTCCTGAAAGCTTACAACTGCACCAATCCAGGATACTGTATTTCCTCTAAGGCTCTCATAAAGCTAGTCACTAATATAATTAGCTATAAGTTCCTTTTGGTTCAAACGTGTCTTAAATTAAAAACTAACACATGGTTCTTGCCCACAGATGCATCCTGATCTCAGACAGTGAAGTCATATCCTTGTTTTCCTGTAGTTTGGTTAAAAAAACAAAATCAAAATTAGTGATTCTAGAGTGACCGTAGTTTAAACCTGATTAAATTAGATGTCTTTAGAATGAGCTCTAGGTTTTTTAAAATCGTACTTACTTGCTTCAGAAGGCAGCACACATTCAAGTGGGATAAATTTCAGTGTCCTTAGTTTACCTTCAGGAGCAAGTTTACATGTTTATGAACAAATGCATCTAAATTTTTCTTCTGGCTTTTTTCTTTTACACACAATAGAATACTATGCACATTTTTATTCATTTTGCTTTTGTCGCTAAACAGTATCACTTGGAGATCAAGTACTATCAGGATGTGAAGAGCTTCTTTGATTTTTCTGGCTGGATGGTATTGTAGTTAAGCATGCATATTGAATTTATAGAACCAGTCCCCCTCCTGAAGGACATTTAGGTAATGGCCAATCTTTTCCTCTTAATAGTATAAGAAAGGGTGTAGTATGTCACCTTATGTGCACTTCATTACCCACGTGTGCAAGGACAGTTCTCCAATGAATTCTTAGACTGGGATTTCTGAGTACAAAGAATGTATGTTTTCCCCTTGCACAGACATTGCCAAATTGCCCCCATCACATTGTACCTGTTGACACACCCAGTGATACTTAAGTCTTTACCCATCCCAGCAGACATAGGGCCTTATCCAATTTTTGGTTCTTAAGCATTTCCGAAAGTGAAAATGATTCCTTGATGTAGTTATTCATGGGGTTTTAGCACCATGAGGGACCCCAGTATGCACTCAGTGTGTCCAGGGTAGTTGCGAATCATCTGAGGTCATGAGGGTTTTGGTGGCCAAGCTTGTGGAACAGCAGGAGCCTCTCCCATGTGCTCTTGTTCCACTGCCAAAGACATTTCTCTGTGCTTACTTGGTCCTTGTGCCCAAAACACCTGCCAGTACCACTGGAGTTGCTATTTTCTAGCAATTTGAAAAATTAGGTAAAAACATTTATAAATTATTAAAACCAAAAGTGTGGGGAGAGTATCTTTGACTTTGTATGCCAAGCTTTGACAGATCCTATTTTACTCTGTGTTCACAGAGCACTCCAGGTATTCAGGAATTACTGGACGTTGCTAAACAAGACATTCCTTTTGACTTCTGGAAAGCCACCCCCTTGGTCCTCAAGGCCACAGCCGGCTTACGTCTGTTACCAGGAGAAAAAGCTCAGAATTTGCTACAAAAGGTGATCTTATCCATCTCCTGCTTGGGGGTGGCTTATAGTAATGGAAAATGCTCATATTCAGCCACGTTCAAGCAGTCAGGATGCTAGGTGTATGGGTCCTGAAGAGGAAAACATTAAAGTATTAATAGCTCACCTTTAGGTGGAGGGATTGTGGAAGAATTATAATTTTCTTCCTCATGACATTTAAAGCCATTTATGTTTTCTAGAATGACTCTTTTTATAATAAGAACAACTTTGTTTTAAAAATAACATTGTGCTTTTGAAGGGCTTCTGTCCATCCAAGGACTTTGAATGTGCCAGAGGGCTGTTGGGAACTGAGTTCCTGACCTTCAGCTCAAGCTTGCTTGTTCTCGAAAAACTGCTAGTCCTGCTCTTGGTTTGATACCCAGGTGAAACTACTGAAGAGGCCCCCGAGGACTGGCTCTCATGGGGCCAGGGGGTGTCTCCAGGCCCTGTACTGCCCCTAGGGAGGGGCTGCAAGAACCCATCTTTAACAGGTGCTTGGAGGGTTACTTTTCATCGGGCAAGTCAAGGAAACTGTTATAAGCAAAATGGTCCTCCTAACCTTCTCTACTGTTTTAAAGTAGCTGGTAAATGATAAATTGTTGCACATCTATCAAGGTCCCTTAAAAAAATTACCTCTATACACTCAAATCGGATTGTGGGACACAAGTGCAGTTGGGGTGTGCAAATGTACTAAAGTTCCTTGTATCAATACTTGCTTTCAAAAATGGAGAAAAATATATACCCAAACGGAGCTGCTCACTCCCTTCACTTCCCCTCTGCTTGATCATTTCCTGGGAGCAGTGCCCACCAGGCCTTGCCGTAGTCCCACGTCTGAGCTCTGCCTTATAAGCCTTCTGTTCTCTTCATCTTTCATCCTAAAGCAGGGCAGCATTTGTGGGCCCAGCAGAGTCAGTGTACCCCAGAGCTTTTCCAGTCCAGAGTGGCTTAACATGGGGCTCTCCAGGGCAGCATCTACCTCAGCTACCCCAGGGAGTAGATTAACATGATGAAAAGCGCTTGCAGAGGATTAGAAAGCTAAAAACAAAACCAGAACTGTTGTACTTTGCAGCACCAGTGGACGCCTCTGTTGTTGTTTGACCTGCTGAAAGCACAGCCTGACTGGGAACTATGAGTTTAGATTCTAAAGGATAAAGACATGTCTCTCTTTACATTTAGGTGAAAGAAGTGTTTAAGGCATCACCTTTCCTTGTAGGGGATGACTGCGTTTCCATCATGAACGGAACAGACGAAGGTAGAGTTCCCAGAAACACTTTGTGTGGGAAGGCTGTCCCAGCGAGACGGGCTGTGCGCAGGGCTGCTGGGAGCACGCTGAGCGCTCTCCCTATCAGATGCGCGGGTGAACAGGGCTGAATGAATTCCAGTTCACAGTATAACTATCTCACAGGGTCTTCTCGGAGCCCATATTAGATTCTCATCTTGACCCACTCCCAACTTGACACTGATGAAGTTTCTGAAAATAATCACTCTTTTAGTTTTAAGGATATTTAGAATCTGCAGCTGCTACCATGTTTAGAGTGTTGTCGTTGCATTGTCATTCCTGAGACACTTAATATGGTTCCTCATTGGCCTCTGAATTTTAAGTATGATCTTAAGGGTTGGTTTGTATGTAGGGAAGGGAGGGGAACATTTGGTTCTTTTCTGATCTCTTCCAAAAGAGGAAGTTCATGATAAAGAAGAGATATGACATTTGGCAGAGTATTCTAGTTTTTTAGTATGGTATCTTCTAGAACAATCTGCCAGAAGCCACTGGATGACGTTACGAATAAATCTTTCTGTAGCTGATCTGAAGGCTGGGAATAGTGAGAAGTGGTCACTTTGTGCTCCTGAAACCTGAAAGTAGTCATCTGTGTCCTGTATGTTTACTACATCTGAAGTGATTCAGATGCTGTTTTGTGACTCTCTCGTAGGCATTTCAGCCTGGATCACGGTCAACTTCCTAATAGGTATGTTCACGTCATCATGAAGGCAAACAATTAAGATACCATTCTTGTGAGCAGGAGCCTCATTTTTACTCTTTAAAATACCCCCTTGGGGTTTTGCAGTGTTCTGGCCCAAAGTAGGGTGTTGGAATGGGTGGGAGTGTCCACCGGGCTTGTCAGGGTGAGCACTGAGCTCGTAGCTATAAGGTGCTAGGAAAGGGGTACTTCTCTCCAGTCCTGGAGTGGTTTCTACCAGCACAGCTCCCACCCTTCTCCCGCAGCAACAACCATCAGTGCCCTTGTCTTCTCATTTCCGAAAGAAATCGGAAATAAAACTAATCATGTCTTCAACTATTAAATATGATATGAATGCTAACCACCTTATAATTGAATTCCTCTGCTGTAGGTAGAACAGAGAGAAAAAACATCTGTTCTTGGAAACAGCAACAAGAAATAATTTTTCTTAGATTAACTCAGTGCATGTGGATTTTTGCCCTTGTAACGATGGTAAAGACCAGTGTGGCTGACACAAGTATGAAAAAGAAAGTTTTCTGGCAGAATTTGCTCCTTAGAGAATGCAGAGCCATGTTAGGTAACAACAGATCAGGAGCCTGAACCTCAGGAGAGCTGAGGTGGGGGAAGGCGTGCCTAGGGCATGAAAGAATATCAGAGAAGTCAGAGTCCCTGAGCAGTAGATATGGCAAGCCCAGTATCTCTGCTATAGGTCAGTGTTGTCTTCTTATTGTTCAAATTAAAGCTGCAGCCAGTGGAACCATTGTCCATGTCCCTTAAACATACAGTATGTCTTTACATGGAGAGTTTTAAATAGCTATAGCTATTTCTCTATCTTGTTGTTTCCACTGAAGGGCCTGGCTTCTAACCTCTCCTTACTTTTTCTACTGTTCTCATCTGTTTACTAACATGACAGTGCTGTGTTGGTTTTTACTTCCTGTGCTCCAGGCAGTTTGAAAACCGCGGGAAGCAGCAGTGTGGGCATGCTGGATTTGGGCGGAGGGTCCACTCAGATCACTTTCCTTCCAAGAGTCCAGGTAACCAACTCCACCCTCCAAGGCCTGTGGGAAGGCTGGTAGACCTGGTAACTCTGGGCCCTTACCGTCAGTTCTTCTCCTGAGGGCCAGACCCACTCACAGTTTAATGCTTCTTAGTTTAATTTTTAACTCTTCCTGGGGGAAAAAAAATAGAAATTTGGTCTTCAGTGGAATGATAAATTAGATACTACCTGGAGCCATTTGGGCCAGGGAATGTGAAGTAAGCCCTCTCCTCCCCTCCCTTGACAGTACCTCACCTACCATTTTATTATTTTTTTTTTAGTTTTCAATGGAAGAGCACTTAAGAAAATTTACTCGTAATTGTCTTGGTTGGGCCATACTTGTCTATATAGGTAAATGTTACTCATAAGGAAGAGAAACTTGGTTTCTTTCATTTTGGACGTTTTATTTTTTTTCTTGCTCTAATGAAAAGCTAAATGTGACTTAATGAAAAGCTAATTTAATTGAATACATCTGTGAATATCCCTGTTCTTTCAAATGAATTGAGGGAATGGAGGATAGTTTTCTAGAAAGACCAGCAAGAAAGGTAGTAACCCTCATGTTCTTCCCCAGGGCACCCTTCAGACCTCCCCACCTGGCTACCTGACGTCACTGCAGATTTTTAATAGGACCTACAAGCTCTATTCTTACAGGTGTGTCTTCGGGAATGAGGGTGAAGAGATTGACCATCTGGGCACATAGCTCAGCTAGGGCTACTCGGCCTCCTCCTTGCTACTGACTCCTGCCTTGTGTGGTGACTGGAGCATTCGGTCACAGACACACTAGATCCCAGAAACCCCTGTTGTGGACTCACCTAGAGACTTCTTTCCACTGTTCCTTCCTCCTCTTCCCTTCTTTCTCCCTTTTCAGTTTTCCTACAGTAAAATTACATTTCTTCTTTTGTTCTTATTCTTCTCTGTTTGGGGGGAAGTTTTTGAAAAAGTGGGGAAGAGCCCATGGATTGTGCAGGAATTTTCCAGGCCATTTTTTTGCCACGCGGCACCTTCAGTAAATTCTTACTGTGCAGCACACGTGCACCATTAAGATCAGCGGTGCATTCACCGGTGTTCACAGCTCCTATGCAAGCTCCTGTCAAATAATAGGCCTTCATTTGTTGAACTAATTAGCTGAATGCCCTAACCTCCCCAGAAGGAGCTTCTAGAAGCAGAAAAGCCTGCTGCTTTGCCACAAGTTTCCTCCCTTCCCTTCTCATTTTAGATCCAGGCCAGGTGAATGTACTGAAATCAGAGCTGAGGACGGCAGCTAGCACTTCCTATGGCAGGCCAGCCCCTCACCCAGGCTCTCTTTCCACAGCTACCTGGGGCTCGGATTGATGTCAGCGCGGCTGGCGATTCTCGGTGGTGTAGAGGGGAAACCTGGTGAGTGGAATGCAGTGCTGAGAGCCCTCCATGCTCAGCAGGCATGAGGAGTCCCTTCAGGTGAGGTGCCCCTTCTCTCTGTGCCTCCATCGTCACAGCAGCTTGCTGGCCCCTGGCCTGCCCTCACTGCCAGCATGACTCAGGGAGCCCAGGAGGGACGTGTGTAGAAGAATGTGCTCTGGATCTTGTTGGTGGCACCCAGGTGGGGACACAGGCTAATGTGTTTTACCTGTGTACATTATAAGTTATTTTTTTAAAAGAGATACTAGTGAAGTCATTTCTGATACACCAAGCTGGGGGATTTTAGGAACCCGAATAACTGTGTACAGTCATCACCTACATTTGGAGTCTGCTTGCTTTCAAGGATTTGAAGAGAACCTTAATCTTTAATATAGTGCAAGAAGAGGCCACAAGGAGGTGATTCTGAGTTATTGCCATGGGGCTGGGGAACCTGTTCTCTCATTCACAGTGATTCTAGCCTTGTCAGAATGTCCTTCCATCTTCTCTTCCTCTAACATAAAACAGGGGCTTGGCCTTTTCTCCAGACTTAGTGTTGGACTGTAGACGAAGCCTATGTCTGGTCAGGTTATTAAAAGTCTCATTTACTCCCAGGCCTTTTCTGCTCTTTACTGATGGACCTGGCTAAAGAGAAGCCTCCCATTGACCAGCAGTGCACCTGAATTTTTAGGAGATCTTAGAGGAACACTGTGTCCTGATTCAGGTATCAGGGGACACTACTCTGAGGCTGGTATCTCCCTATCTATCCTAATGACATCAGCTAGGGCCCCAAAGGCTTTGACTCATGACTCCCATCCAGACGTGAGCATGTGAGCCCACACACATTTCCCTCAATCCTGCCTCTCCCTGCCCCTTCTTCCTGGCCTTTTCCCTAGAAGCCTAGCACTTCTACCCACTTCTTCCAAGATCCTGATTGTTCTGACAGTGTAGGAATATTCAACTGAAATTTTTGTTTTTCATGTATATCCTATTTCTGTTCATTTCTTTCAAATTCTGGTGTTTAACCTCAATAATATCCCTTCTGCTGCAAACCAAAAATACATCCATGTCTCAGAATCACCTGTAATTTTCACTCTGGAGCCAGAAAACACTTATTTAGCCAACAAGAAGAAGGCAAGCACCTGTTTGCCTATCTGTGGCAGGCCTCACAGTCCTATCAGCTTCTGTGCCCTCTCCTCTCAGCAGAGTAGCTGGAGGGCCACTGGTATTCTTGTCAGGCCACACAAGTGCCCAATTGAGACACCAAGAGTACAAGTTGTGGCACGGCAGATCACCCACCAAACTGAGTGTTTGCAAACAGCAGTCATTTTATTGTATCTCATGATTCTGTAGGCTTTAGTTGGTTGGTATACTAGGATCTCTAAATGTGGTAGCATTTAGGGTGTTGGGCTATACGTCTGCACCTCGGCACTCCACATGACTTCTTCCCCAGTGGAGCAGCCTGCACTTTTCCCTGGCAGCTCAGAGGAAGAAAGATTGCCTGAAGTCATAGGATTTCATGTCCTGCACATTCCATTAGTGAAAGCAGCAGGCCCAGGCCAGAATCTAGGGCAGGGGACAGGGACCCACTTTTTGGTGGGAGACCAGCACACGCACCCTGAAGGGGTGGTATTGTTGGGCCAGCCTTGAAGGCCAAACACCTCATTTTCTTTACTAAGTATGGGCCCCCAGCTTTTGTGGAGCAGCACAGATTTGTGGCATGGTGGCCCCTGGTAGCATCATCCTGACCTAGACTCACTAGCCTATAAAATCAGAGAGTGATGGCTCTCCTCCTATTAGGGTCCTTGTTACAATTCACTGAGCAGCACTTGGCCCTGAAGCCCCTTAGTGAAAGAACTGGGAGTGGCCATGCTTCCAGAGCAGATGAGGCTCTGCTGCAGCCTCAGTGATAAAGGCTTTACCTCCTGCAGCTGACCTAGACTGCTTCCATGAGTTGGATCCCACCTGGCAAAAAGGAATTGTGTTCCCTTAACCATCCAGTGCCTTTAGTACTAGCCTAAAATGCTCTGTGCTATAGACCTCCCCTCAGTGGAATCGTGTGTCTCAGCTACATGCAATGCCCTAGTCTTACAGTGACATTGTGCTTTGCTTTTTTATCTTTTTATTTCAGCAGAGGATGGAAAGGAGTTGGTCAGCCCTTGTTTGTCTCCGAGTTTCAAAGGAGAGTGGGAACATGCCGAAATAACATACAGAATTTCAGGACAGAAAGCAGGTATGGTAGATTTATCCTCCATCAGTGGTTTATAAGGGTTAACAGTGGCAGCCTGCCCTTTACAAGGACCTCTGAAAATCAGGGAGACTGTCACCAAACCTCTTTTACAGGCCCGTACTTGTCCATGAAATGGAGGTTCTCTGTAAACTTCATCAGGGCAGAGGTACCCTTGCTAGCCTGCTGGTATCTTTCAGTTCACACAAGGTCTCTGCATAAGGCTTCCTTGTCTGGTAATGAATACTTTCTTCCAAAGGGCCAGATTTCCCAGCAAGTCCCCAGTGAGGAAGGATCTGAACATCCCAAGGCTCTAAGATAATTAGCAAGCCCGTTTCTGAACAAATGGAGAAATGGCTTCTCCTTCTCCTTCCTTCTGCCCATCACCCCATGCTGCCTTCAGGAGGAGAGGCTACTCCAGACTCCAGAGCCCCTGAAGCCTTGTGAAAGGGTCTCACCAGCCTGGCCCTTATCACCCCACGTGATCTTTGTCGCTCTGTGCACTTTTAGTGTCTTCTAAAAGAAATACTGACACGTTGTTCCCAGGATTGACATGTGGGCATGAGGTTTGTCTGCCTTTGGTGACAGAGCTGTTTCTAGTCATACTTCTGATACCAAATATGTGGATTTTTCACACCAACCAGTTCCTCAAACAATTGATTAAGTTATTAGCCATGGGTGATTCAATGACTAATCCCTCACCCCTCCCTGGAGGTTGAGTATGGGTAGTTCCAACCCTCTTATCAGATGGTTGGTTCTTCTAACAACCAGCCCCCACCCATAGCCATCTAGGGACCCACCAAAAGTCACCTCATTAGCATAAACTCATGTCTGCTTGAAAGGGGCTTATTATGAGTAATAGGAGATGCACCTCTCACCCCTATTACTCAAGATCTTACAAGGGATTTAGAAGTTCTGTGTCAGAAACAAGGAGCAAAGACCAAATCTGTTTCATATTATTCAGTGACCATGTAGGTCACTCTGACTCAGCCACTTGAAAACATACTGTGCATCAGGCCCTGTTACAGCCACTGAGCACATAGCAGTGCACAGTGCAGAAAAGATCTGTGCCCAGGTGGAGTGAGAGAAGTCAGGCAGTAAAACACTTGAGAAACTGCTTTGAAAGAAAATAAAATGGAAGGGGAGGAAATGGAAAGGGAGATTGCAGTTTTAGATAAGAACCAGGGAAAGCCTCATGGGGTGATATTTAAGATAAGATATGAAGAGATGCAGAATGAGCCACAGAGATCTAAAGCAGCAGTTCTCTAAGCTTTGGGAGCAGCATATGCAAAGGCCTTGAAGTAGCCACTGTGTTTAAGGAACAAGGAGGAGGTAGTGTGGCTGATCAAACAGAACAGTAGAGGGAAATGAGGTCCAAAGGGCAAGGGCATGGCTCTGTGAGCCACAGAGAGAACTGGATGGGGCTGCCCTTGGATGGTGGAACAGGTTTGGGGGAAGGAAAATGGGAACCTGGGTCCAGGCATGGGCTATAGGACATCCATATCCCTTAATTCTGGGGCCTGTGTTCTTCCAAGCAGGGAGTTAATGGCCAACCCTATGAGCTTGGCAAGCTGCCTGTTAGGCCTCAGTTTCCTCATCTGTGACATAAGGAGAGTGCAGGCCACACCTCCAATGTGGCTGATGAGATGGAGTAAGATGCCACATGTTCAGAGCTCAGCACAGGGCTGACAGAGGGTGAATGTGGGGTAAACAGCACAGACATGAGCCCATTGGACTGTGTCAGAACAGCTGCACAGGGCCCATCTGGAAGCTGTTGTCCTTCAGAGTTGGGGGCCATGCTCTCCAGCCACGTTCATTCTCAGCATTTCTTTCCCTTGATGTGTGTCAGCAGTGCTATGGCTCCTGAAAGGTGCTATTGATGTGTGGTACTGGTGAGCACCTGACTTGGTGTGGGGTCTACACAGGTTCTGGTCCTGCCTCACTCTCCATGTCAGGGTCTCAAGTCACTGGGGAAGGACCCCAAGGGCTGTGTGGCCTGGGTGCTTGGAGCCCACTAATCACTGGCCCCGCTTTTGCTTTGCCCAGCAGTGAACCTCCACCAGCTGTGTGCCAGCAGAGTGTCGGAAATCCTTCAGAACAAAGTGCACAGAACGGAAGAAGTGAAGGATGTGGATTTTTATGCTTTTTCCTACTATTATGACCTTGCAGCAAATGTTGGCTTTATAGGTAAGGGTGGGCTGGGCTAGGAACTTGGGTGTGGACCCCTGGGCAGAGAGCCTGTGTCAGGGAGCAGCTCTGCTGTCAGTCACCTCAGGGCAAGAGAAGTGGACTGACTATGGAGGGCAGATGTCTTGTCATCAAATAGGAAGTAATAAGCCCCCTTTTTAATAAATCAGTTCTTTGAGACCCTTAGCAAAGTTTATATTCTTGGTATAGGAGCAGTCATTCACTGTTGATTCTGTCTTCTGCTCTGAGGCAGGAATGACTCAGGTGTGCGACTCAGACCCTCGCCCTCTTGCCTTGGCCCCTGAGTCTCTGGCTGAGGGAGCCATTTGCAATGCAGCCATGTGGCTGTCCCCAGTTGGCATCCAGGCTGGCTTGGGGAGAGGTCAGCCCACTCCACTGGTTACCCTCAGAAGCACATGGGGTCTGTGTGACTCCTCCACACCCCCGAGTACGGTCAGGGCAGGAAGGTGACATTTGCGTTTTCCAAGGCTGGTGGTGTTCAGACCGAGAGTGGAAACTCTTGAAGGTGTGAAGTCACTTTAGTAGGTCATGACCAGAAATTTTGCTAATGAAATACTTGAGACTACCAGAATGCATTGCCTATGGTAAAGGTAAGAGCATTAATGTAAATAAAAAGATGCCCAGAAGAAACCAATGATGTCAGGTTCTGGCTCCTGGGGACCCAAACCTCCAGCTATGTCTCCTTTCTGAGCTGCCCACTGTCAGGGCCCAGAGTGGAAGGTAGCCAGTGGAGTTGCAGGGGTGGGAAGAGGCGATCTGAGTGGAAGGGGACCTCTCTCACCCCTCACTCAGGCCCGGGTCCCTCTCTCTGGCACATGGTCTCTGGGGTGCCCCCTGAAGCTAAATCTGTGGCTAATGGGCCTGAGGGGCTCCTTCTGGCTCTGTGAAGCTGAAGCAAGGGCATACTCATGTGCAATTCCTGACCATCCTGCTAGCTCTGGATGTTGCAATGCCTAGGGCCCACCAAACCCCAACTTGGCCTGGCAGCCTGCTGGGGGCCTTACCTTAATATCCCCTCGTCAATCTGAGACTCTTCATCCTGGCCACAGACTGTCCTTTCCCTAGGGGACCAACATCTTCCCAGTTGGCCTCAGGAGATGGTGAGTGTTCAGAAAAGCTCTTTTAACTCGCTCTGTGGTCACACAGGGCTCTGAAAGAACCACTTGGGTTTGCATTCAGAAATAGAATCCACCCTTAATGGTGACATTTGTTGACTGACTTGGCAAACATCCAAAGTCAAGGAGAAGTCAGGAGATTTCCTTTCAACACATTGAATAACTGCCTCATACCATACATAAGTGTGCAGGACACCTGGGGACCCTCTTTTGAATGTGGAGGTTTTGGGGGGCATTGAAGAAACCAGTTGCTGTCCTTGAGAATTTGGGACACAGCTCTTGGTGCCTCCCTCCCCAGGAATGGCACAGAAGCCTGGGGCCCCACCTTCCTGGAGAGCCCCATAAAGGTTCTGCCCATTTGTTCTAAGACCTAACAAACCACTCTTCACTTTTTTCCAGAATTT